AATGTGTGTGGAGCGCTATATAGCTGTTTGTTGGCCTATCTTGTACCTGGAGCTGAGGACGTCTCAGTACCGGTTGGTGTTTTCTGCCCTGGTCTGGATTGTGACACTGGCTCTGGCAATTGAAACCTACCTTGAAAGCATTCAGTACTTGTCATGGACACTAACCATGGGAATCTCAGTCCTCTTTGGACTGATGTTAATGTGTCTTGGTAGGATCATCGCCATCCTGTGCAAAAAGGGCCCTGGAGACAATGACAACAGCACAACACAGAAGAAGAAAGCTCTTAAGAATGTACTGATTGTACTCTGTCCATTTACCATAGCATACTTACCCATCATTGCCCTCATCCCTTTCAAGTCCATTTTGACCGCCAAAAAACAACAAACCCATGCCCTCATCTGCACCATCTTCCAGTATGTATTCTCTTTCCCTAATTTTGGCATTTACATCTGCCCAATGTTCTTCCTATCCCACCTAAAGAAGCACCTTTGCTGTCAAATTGGAAGGTCAACTCAGGACCAGTTACAAAGAATGACTGAAGTGTTTTCCTTCATCTCATTTGCATTAAGCCGGAATACAACAGAACACAGCCACCACTGAAATGCTATAATATCTCAGTAAACATCACATAATAATATCTCGATTACCTATCCAACCTACTTTTTGGTTATTCCTGTGGCAAAGACATATTTAGTCCTGTGTATACCTATATAAATTATGTATCTAGCATATGTAAATATAGTGCAGTCCCATTGTGAAAGCCAATAATGCACTTATATCACTAAAGTATCAAGGTCTTTAAACACAATTGTTGCAGTTACATTTTTTGAAAGAATTATCAAATAAGGAATGTCATATGTGCTGATAATAAGATCATGTTTAAGTAGTTTTATATTAGGTTTCTCTGGTGGATGTATATGGGTTTGTTGATTTTCAATGTATATTCCTAAGATTAAAGTAGATGTGAAATAAAAAAAACTGTTTACCTAAATAATTAAATGCCACAAAGACTATTCTTGTATTTCTTTACTTCTTGATCGCATTCTGCACAGGAAATGAGTTGCACGACTAGGCTTTTTGCTCTTATTACACTGAACACATCCATCCATCCATCCATCCATTTACTACCACTTATCCGAGGTCGGGTTGCGGGGGCAGCAGTCTCAGCAGGGAAACCCAGACTTCCCTCTCCCCGGCCACTTCATCAATCTCCTCTGGGGGAATCCCGAGGCTTTCCCAGGCCAGCGGAGAGACATAGTCCCTCCAGCGTGTCCTGGGTCTTCCCAGGGCCTCCTCCCAGTGGGACATGCCCGGAACACCTCACCAGGGAGGCGTCCAGGAGGCATCCTAATCAGATGCCCGAGCCACCTCATCTGGCTCCTCTCGATGCGGAGAAGCAGCGGCTCTACTCTGAGTCCCTCCCGAATGACCAAGCTCCTCACCCTATCTCTAAGGGAGAGCCCAGCCACCCTGCAGAGAAAACTCATTTCAGCCGCTTGTATTCGCGATCTCATTCTTTCGGTCACTACCCACAGCTCGTGACCATAGGTGAGGGTAGGAACGTAGATCGACTGGTAAATCGAGAGCTTCGCCTTTTGGCTGAGCTCCTTCTTCACTATGACAGACCGATGCAGCGCCCGCATCACTGCTGACGCCGCACCGATCCGCCTGTCGATCTCCCGCTCGATCATCCCCCCACTCGTGAACAAGACCCCGAGATACTTAAACTCCTCCAGTTGGGGACCCGGAGAGAGCTCTCCACCCTTTGGCCTTCGGCCACTACCCAACTCGCACTGCACCCGACCCCTATGGCACCTCCAACAGGTGGTGAACCCATTGGAGGGCATTGAACACATCATGATACCTAATAAGCATGTTAATAATGAGCAAATCAACTATACTCTTCTGAGCATTTTCCAGTCATACTGAGACTATGAATCTATATACTCTGTGGAACAGAAGTTGTCTGTACATAATTACCTAATGCTAAAAGTACCATCAAACCTAAAAAAAAAATACATCAATATGCGATAAAGGTCATAGTGATGAGTGGTGCCGCAACACCCAAAGTCTAAACCAGAGCTTCTCAAAAGATGTGTTCGAGGGAGCAGGCCCTGTGTGCTGTGGAATTTAATCCTAATATGGAATGCCTTATTCAATTATTTGATTATATAAACGCATCTAATGAAGCTGGGACACCTGGAGGCAAGTGGGGCAAAGAGGCCCTCTCTGGGACAGAAGTCTGGAGCATGGGTGTAGCGGGCCTCTCCTGGGTCGGTCGTGGGCTGAGCCGCTGGGAGTCTTGGAGGCGGGTTAAGTGACAGCTAGCGGAAGCAGCGTGCTAAGCAGCCTTTAACGGTGAAGTGCCAGCGAAACTGGCCATTCCGGTGGCATGGGGCTCCGGAGGGAGCAGTGCGGGCAGCAGTGTTGTGCATGAGCGACGTTAATTGAACACGTTCATATTTTTCATGCACGCTGAACTAAACAAATCAGTTTACAAATTATGAAAATGAGAGACGTTCGCTCTCGCAAGACTGAACGCCGCTCACGTTTTATGACGGTTTTAAAGTTTGCTGATTACAGGCTGGCATGGCTGGTGCTTTGGCCAATTATTATTACATCGAGTCTAGTAAGAATGGTTCCCTTACGTAATATTAAACCTTTCTGTATCAATTTATTAAATCTCTATACTGTTCCCTTTGCCGACAGGTGTCTTTTCAGGTACAGCTAGGTAACCCGATCGTTTCGGGTGTACAAACAGCCAAGTAACGATACGAAGACGAAACAGGATCTTTCGGCGTCACCAGAGCCAGTTTAAGTGGATCATCTGTGCAGCCGTAATACAGATGAAATCGCATTTTCAATTAACATTATTAGCGACTAGTAATATTTATGTTTTCTGATGAATTTCACAAAGACCATATAATTTTATATATACATTTTGTCATGTCGAAAATTAATTAATCAAACTCTGCCTATGCATTTTGTGTTTAATTGTTTTGGCTAAGAAAGCAAACATCATATCTTCTTTTTATTATGTAAACGCGTGCAGACAGTTTCAGATTGACTATAACAGGTGCTCGACAAGGATAATGGTTTTGGCTACATAATTTGTTGTCAGGTCATATGATGGACTTTTGCACTTGGGACAAGTGCTAGAAGACATTTTATCAAAGAATATTTCAGTTGGATAACGGATTAAGTTTGCTTGGATTATATCACTCTGTGTGTCGATCGGAGTGACTATTTAAACCAGTCAGGATGATCTTGCTCTTCAATGGGCAACTTGCTTGCTGCAGAAAAAGCACTGGTGATTGATGCATGAACGCAAGCGAGCTTTTTCTGTATGATCACTCTACGTAATTACTTATTCCTTTTTTTGGAATACTCATACATATGTGGAGAAGACTGTTTTCTATATTTCTTAATTTTCACTCTGATAAGTCTTCGTTATATGTCCGTTTTCATGGCTAGAAGTGACCGGGGAGGTTTGCTGTGCAGGCGGAACAGTAAACTCGAGTCCTTTCTCAAGAGGAGCACCGAGCGCCGCTTCTACGAGCGGATCCGCGCCTACGAGCCGTGCATCGTCATTTTGCCGAAAATCAACAAGGTGTTTATGTATGCGGTGCTGAACGACGAGTCGGTCTACCTGGCCGAATTTCCGCCTCGCACGCTCCAGCTTGCGGTCTGTTTCAGGCACGTCATTGACATCAGTTTGGTAAGACTGGGATGTAGGATCCGCACGTTATCTTTTTAAATGATCAGTTGGTTGTTTTTAATTGCAAATTTTGGTGTTTTCATCAATATAGGGCATTTGCCTATAGCTCTCAGAAGCATCACTGACAAAGTTGTTTAGTTTAAGAATCCCACGTATACAGTAAATATGTGCTTAGTTCCTGACCGAATATTTTTAATTAAAAATAATGGGCTGAGGCAGTTGACAGCAGTTTAGCTGTTGTAGATGTCCTGTCCTGCAGTGCAGCAGGAGTAGAACTGGACACCAAGAAAGTTGTAACTAGGTTGTTCCTTCATTTCTTAATCAGATCACAGGCAGTTAATCAGCATATATAGGGGGTCTTTGCCGGTTTGTTTATCCCACCTTCAGTAACTCCAACCTCAATAACGAGGAAGAACATGAAGACAGCGTTTCTCAGATATCAGGGCAGGTGTTCCGGGCAATTCAGTTTCCCTATGTTTCCCCTGTTGTACACGGTTTCGCTGTTGTTTTCATGTCTTTTTGCGAAGCTCTTGAGGTAAACAAGTCATATATTTTAAAACATCACATGCCTTTTCGATGTTTTTTGTTTTTACAGATAATAAATGAAAGTATTTAATTCAGTGGATATAGATATTTCTTTATGAAAACGGTATAGTATTGCTTATAAGACTATATTATGCGTGACGATCTATGTATTCACATGTAATAATGTACCTGAGTGATTTTCAGACATCTCACATACATATTTGCCTAAATATTAGGAGAAACTATTTCCTGACATCCAGGATATTTGGTTCCCCCCTGTTAAAACAGGTATACAGCAACTCTGGACAGATCGGTACTAATAACAATATACAGTATTCACATGTAATAATGTACCTGAGTGATTTTCAGACATTTCAGACATTCCTTCCATTTAAGCACCAACTGTGCCAAAAGAACCGTTTTGTTTGTCATCCAGTTTGGTTTTCTTTTAGAATCCAGTGTCTTGCTATGAATTTTGCGTTTGACCCACAATTTATACAACATGTGCATCTATTAGTGGAAATTGATTGGTGATGTGCTAGGTAGATTTTCGTACAACCAATTAAAGGTATGATCACAGAAAGGTATGTTGTATAAAGCTCTACATTAACGGTTTAATGTCACTAATATATTCACCGTGCAGCTCTATTGGTTGCATTTGGGGCGGGATTTTATTTGTAGTCCTCATTTCACAACACTTAAATGCTGGCTCCGTCAGCACTTAGGAATTGGGCTTAGACTTCGCTGAAAATTACTTTCAGCAGCTTTATGCAATGCTCTTAGGTCCTACTTTTTGCTAAGATTTTTTTTTAACTCTTAAGTCCAAGTGTACGACCATTCTTAAGACCATTCTAAGGAAATTTTATGTATACCGGCCCAGGTGATTTACTTGGAAGACCTTATTAGGAACAATGGTGACTGGTGTTCACCAGACATCGGATGTTAATTGAATTGTAGTTTTAGTTATTAAAGTGCTATGGGTGCTCTCATTACTGGAGGTGACAGAATCTGTCCTCGGACAGATAATAATAATAATAATAATAATAATAATAATAAGGATAAGCGGTTTGGAAAATGCATGCATAATAATAATAATACAATGATAATAAGCCTCCTTGTTTAATCTGAGTGAACAGATGCATACATTAGCAGTCTGTGGCTATTACAAGCTGCTTGCGAAATTTAATTGCTTTCTGTCATCATGCGAAAATGTCTAATTCCAGGTCAACGATCTACCGGATTTTCTCACTGGCCGCGAGCGAGAACACTCGCAGCATATCCGTGTCGTCTACACCTCTGCAAAGCATCCTGGGAAAGGAGATGCAGGGCACCGAGGAGAAATCGGCAAGACGGGTACACGTGCTTCTCTTTTACCCCAGAAAATTTGTAGTCTCTCCTCATGCTGGTAAGATGCTAGTTATCAGTAGGTGGAAGCCTGCACTGGGACAGCTTAAAAGTGTAACTGACCACTTTAAAAATACATTGAAAGATTGCAATGAACTTTTTGCCTGGTGAAGACACTGAAGCAGACAGCACTATATTATTAAGCACAATTAAGAATACAGTGGAAAAATTTAAAAGAAAAGACAAGGTTAAGAAGACTCAAAAACGGCCTAGTATGGCTGAAGTCATGTGGGCATATGGAAACATATTAATGAATGTTACTATACACTGAAACAGGCCTTTAAAACAAAGTTAGGACTGACTAAGAAACAGTTAATTATCAAAGAATCTAGAATGCCCAAGGCAAATTTTTTTATCAACATCATCAGTGAAGCCAAAGGTAACACCCAGTTCATCTGGAAACAAAAAAAAAACTAACAGATACACAGCTGTCAATGGATCTGACTCACATGGGAACGCAAAACTATTTAAAAATATATTTTCTCACCCTGACCTCTTAGGTGCTCTATAGTAATATATCATTAATCTTGAACAAAATGAGATGAGAGCAGGTTTCCGGAGCTTTCGATTTTTATTGTTTTGACTTGACCAAATCGGAAGGACAAAGTTTACATACATGACACCTACTAGATATATCTTCTCAATTATCTTGTACATGCGCAGTCGACGCACAAGATTTCCGTAGATATAAAAATTTGGGCTAAACGCGCACCGGCCGCAGCTGTCCGCAGCCAACCCCGGATGACGATATTTACGTCAAGTCCCCTCGGCAACTGAAAGCACACGCGGAAAAGTAAAGTATGCATTGGCTTTAATGGTGTTCCGTCCTTAACACACTGTTATTCACATGTAGGCATTGTGGCTGCGCTACCTGTTAACGTCGGAGCTAAAATGAAAATCAATACTTTCGCCAGCCGCGATGCACACGCCATGTGGCCGCCTTGTCCTGGGTATTAGAATCATTATACAAACAAACACTAAAAACCTTAGATAAGAAGCCTCTGGAGCACCATCATTGTAACATCTTAAAGGAAATACAATCTTTTAAGCTGGGTAAATGTAATCAAATGCAGCAGACTGTGCCTGTTGTTTGAAATATCAAACAGCATGAAGCCTCCTGCATTCAGTTCCTTTATTAAGCCAATAACCAAGCAGAGCATCTACCAGAGGAGATTTACTCCGCATTAGTGGACAAAGTGGTTTCAGACAAAATTATTTTTTAGTTTGAGCTCCACAGGGTTAGAAAACTGTACCAGAATATAAAAGTAGCTCTACATACCACTCTCTCTCCGTTCAGTTATAGGATTGGATAGTAATAAAACTTGTGTACTCTAGATCGGGGTCATGCGTTTCTGTCTTGTTTTTGTTTTGTTATATGCTTTGATTTTTAAAATATGTTCTTCTATTTTTCTTACTTTTTTTGTATTTTATGGTTTTGTATTTTATTGTACTGAGAATATTCAGATGTTTGTGTGTCTTTTCTTACTCAAACTCAGGGACTATGGATGCAAACTAGCCTTTTGGCTAACTCAGGCATATTTACATTATCAATGATAGGTATTGGGCCTGTCAAATAAACTAACAAACAAACAATCTTGACTGGAAAATACAGTAAAATCTTTGTCTCGGGACTAGACCGTGGTAGACTCATTCATTTAGTGAGACCTTCTGTTGTGTTGGTTCCACAGAATCTCATTCGTTTTCTGTCTTCGGCCTATTAAACAGGCTTGTCAGTGAAGGGTGTGAAGTTACAAAAGTTGGCTGTAATTGGAATCTGCTCATTAGCCAGATGTCATCTCTCCCCCCTGTCTAATTCTGGTCCTGTCCCCCGCCTTCCACCAGGGGTCAGTAGCGTCCTGCCCTCTATGTGCTCTGCTCCTCCGGGAACCGCCATCTGGAAGCACGCGCCCTTGTCCACCAGGTAAAAAAGCACACATGCCTTCAGGAAATGCGTCACAGTCGGGAGTGTGAAGGACATACTTCTGGGTGTCCTCCAAGTGTCTCACGTCCGTCTAACCGATGGTGATGATAACCACACTAAAACACTAATCGATGGTTGAATGCTCCTCTCTTTGTTCTTATGCTGGGCCACATGTCAGTTACGGACAATGAAAGGCTTTCAAACAAACATTCAGATCCTCCATCGAAAGAATAAGGTGTGATGACGATCATGGTCCCATTCAGAAGCTCTTATCTCTGCCTGGCAGGTGGATCAGGAGGCATCATGGTATGAGCAGCAGTATTAGAACGTAGTAGTAGAATGAGGCCTTCTGAAGCAGAGGAAGCTGGGTAATGGTATTGGCCAAGCAGTAATGGCTCCCAGTTGGGTGTTTGGCTATTTCCTGCCGTCTTCCTCATCCCACCACATTGTGGGAGGAGCCTGGGATGACACTCGGATGGTACGTAAAAATACATAAAATACTGAGCTGTTATTTTATCACTTAGTTATAATGAGTCTGCATATTCTCAGCAGACATGAACCAGGTTTTGTCTGCCACATGACCCTGCCTGGGTGATTTCTGTTTATCACACTATTGTAAACACTGGACGCTGTATTGTGTGGCTGTGAGTACCTGAATCTACTGACTGACCAGGTTATCCCATCAATGGATTTTCCCTTTTCTAACGGCATGAGCATATTCCAGGATAATGCCAAGATTCATTGAACTCGAGTTATAAAAGAGTGGTTCAGGGAGCAGGACGAATCATTTTCACACATGAATTGGTCACCACAGAGTCTTGACCTTAACCACATTGAAAGTCTTTGAGATGTGCTGAAGAAGACTCTACACAGTGGTTCAACTCATCTATCATCAATACAAGATCTCAACAAGGAATGAATGCAAATCTGGATAATAATAAAAAAATCATGTCGAGATGTTGCATAAACACATGGAAACAATGCATTGGTGAATGTGCAGCATAATCAAAGCTAAAGGCTGTATCACTTTACAATAAGGCTCCCTTTTGCCACTATGGTAGTAACTCATTAATAAAAAGAAAACAGTGTTATAACTTGTTTAAAATTGTCTATTAATAATTTATATTTACAGCCTAATTAATAACCAGATTATAAACCATTTACATGGATGGCCTTATTGTAAAGTGGCACCCTAAAGGTGATCCAACAAAATATTTAAAGTGTGTGACTTCTTTTTTGGCCATGCAGTGTGTTGTGCAGACATCGTTATCCCAAGCTACATAAAATTGAGGTGGCAGGGACAGGCAGTTTTATAAAAAGTTAGGGTTAAGTGACTTGCTGAAGGGTCTCATTGGTGAACTCTATTGACCTGGGATTGAACCAGTGATATTCCGATCACAGGCACAGCATCCTAGCCTGCTGAGTCACACGCTGCCCCATAAACATAGCATATATAGCTCTGTTCTTATTTTTCTGTGTCTGACTGCATGAAGACTGTGGGACGTGAAGTAAGCAATGAGCAAATATCAATTACCAAAAAAACAGCAGTGATACCTGTCAGTTGTCCCTCTTTCCTGCTCTGAACCACTTTCTCACTTTCCTTTGTCGTTCTCTTCTCATAGTTCAAAGAAAGAGGACAAAGGATCTTCATTGGGGCTCGTTTTACAAGGTCACTCTTCCGGGGTGATCTGGTCACAGGATCCAGGAGAGTCTAATTCAGTGTTACGAAATCGATACCTGGAAGTCGGTGTTGAAAAAATGCTAGCCTTTTGCTTAGTGTGATGACCAGTTTACCGACATTGGTGGTGAGAAACTTAAAGGGTTATAGTCCGAGATGGGAGGGGGGGGGAATCCTTTCATGTTGAAATGTCAGGCTGCGACATGAGCAGGACTGCTTAAGCTGGCCGTGACTCTTTAATGTGACTCGGGGCGTCTCCAGGTTCTCAGGGATGAAGACAGAGAGCCTTGGTTTCAGTTTGGCTCAGAAACACAAACACAAAGACACATAAACACCATTATGGAGGTTCTGTGCTTCTTACCATTCCAGGATTGTGAGGTCAGGCTCAGCGACACGACGTGTCCTTTAACGGGCTTCCCGCTGCTTTGTCTCAAGGCAAGATCTACAAAAATAGATCTCATGCCGTCTGTGGTGCACTGTCAGTCTTTTTTTTCCTTCCAGCGCTTAGCTCTCGCTTTCTGTCCGGCACGGGTTCATGTTGGCTGCTACGGATGACCAGCAAGTAAGCCTTCCGTTGGTTGCTAGGGTACGAGGCGAGGTGGAAACCTCTAAATAACTGTCTAATTAAAGGGTCCCTGGGCGGTGCGTCTATGTGTGGCCATGTATATATTACATTGTGGGGACTAAATGCCCAAATCCATGTTATTTTGACCTTGTGGGGACATTTTTTCAGTCACCACGAGGGGAAAACTCTAGTATTTTGTTTGGTTACTTATGGTTAAGGTTAGAGCTGGGTAGGGGTTAAGGTTGTCATTGTTGGGATTAGGGTTTTGCCCATAGAAATGAATGGACGGTCCCCACAAGGATACAGATATAAACTCTGTGTGTGTGTGTATGATCAGATGGACATTATGGAACTGACTAGACTCTTGAGTGATTTTACTTGTTTGTTTTCTCCCCTCCAGCATCTCTGCCACCTATATGGACAACTTCATTATTTTATAAATTGTGGTTTCTATAAAACAGAACTAACTAAAGCTAAATAATTTCATAAAACTTTGCCAAGATAAATGCGCAGTCAAGTTCACATCTGTCCTGAAGCCTCGAAATCCGCCTACATCCTTATATTATCAGTCGAAACCAAAATGGTGAGGGTATGTATTGTACAGACGGATGTCCTACGGTGACATTGCTCGTTTGACTGAACCCCATGAGGTCTAAAGGCTCGACGTGAGAATCCCATGTGAAACTCACCTGGGGAGGGTAATTAACCTCATTAAATTAGTATACACTTGTTTGCATGGTTTTAGGTTTGGACGCTTTGCACCAGGGTGTGTGTTGGTGTAATTTAATTAGATTTTTCATTTTCTTGAAAATCAGGGGGGTGTCTTCACTGTGGAATTAACACAGACCATTTAATTGAAACTGAACTTTGGGTATTACACTAATTGTATACCCCCCTCTCCACACACACTCAGTGAAGGCTGACAAATAACATGCACGATGTAGCAAAGTCAGCTGCTGTTCCAGAACCTTCTCAGACATCTTGTAGGAGTACATCAAGAATGCAGATGAAATTTGAATTATTCCTTCAGTGTGGAATAGGATAGGTTGGTTAATACCTTGGAATCTTTAGAGAATGTGATACACAGTGACCAGGCTACAGCTCAGGAGAGGAGGCCCATGTAGCAAAGGAGGTAATGCAGGAGAATCGTAGATGGTCTTTTAAAAAGTGACATGTGCTCCTGTAGACAGGTGTCTAAAGTTTCCAGATTAATTTACTGCTTACTAATGTTTTGCTCTTTGGGAGCTCAGACGGATGACTACGGATACACTGCCATGTGTGCAGATTGTTCACAAAAGTCTGGGTGAAAAAAGGCACAGCAATGTTGCCTACTACTCTTCGTTTCTAATTAATTTAACTGATTTATTAATTGTGTTTTTTTTTCACCCATTCCATTTGTCATCCTCTTACAATCCACAGCGCACTGCACAGCACAAAGCAACCTGAGTGTCGCTTTGCAGTGTGCTGTGGCCCCTCTACCTGAAAACTTTGTGTTTTAACTTGTAAATATTAATATTTATGCAGCAGTATGGCTCTGTGTTGTTAATCTAGGGTGGAGGAAGAGGAGCAGATGCTTAGGCCCAGGCCCTCGCCGCCACTGGGTCACGGTTCCTCGCCGCCCAGCATCCCGGACTCCGCTGAGACGCGGACTCACTGGAGCAGGGGCAGCCCAGACAGAAGGGCCTTGATCCTGGCCAAGCTGACCGAGCGGACGATGGTGCGGGCGGTTGTGGAGAAGGAGGACTCGGCGAGGTCAGAGCTGCACCTCTATGCAGTGTCTCCATCCTCTCGGATATACCTGCACCTCCAGAGCGCCTGGAACAGCTATGTCATCGTGAGCAGCTGCCTGTCATTTATGTCATGTTGAGTGTCAAGCTTTACGTTGAGTTACGTAGAAATTCACTGTCCGGTTGTTGCAGAGATCCACTCTCCTGTTGGAGCCTCAGTTCAGAAAGAGATGCTGTGCTTCCTCGACCCTTCAGAACCGACGTCAGACCAGGTATTGCCATAATGTGATATTTGATTACATGTTGGCACTTGTCTGGGGCTGAGCGTGACCATCTTACCTGCACTTTCTACCCCTCGTACCTGTCTCCCCAGTTGGGAACGTACCACCCATCTCTTTGGCCAGCTGAGCAGGGAGCTTCTACAGCAGGACCTCACCATGGAGATGCTGTACCTGCTGCTGCAGGAGCTCCACACGGCCGCGCACCGCAACACCGCCGTCCGCCGCCTCTTTTGGAGGGTGAGCTTCGCCAACGTTCTCCCACCGCACTGCGTCACGCCGCCGTCATTCCTCCTTGGCCCTTCACTCCCATGATTCCACGCTTTTCTCCCTGCCAGTCAGAAGACCTTTGCTCATTCCTAGTGAGGACGCTGGAGGACACACTTCAGAGCTGCTGGAAGATTGTAGGAGGTAGCAGAAAGATTCCCACAGAGGACAGGCTACTGTGAGTCCTGCTCGGAGTGACAGGCGATGAAGGGGATCTGCAAAATAAGATGCTAAATTAGTCTAAAAAATGGGAGGGAAATTAAAAGAAGAAAGGTGTCAATATAGTGGGGTTTAATTTTTCTAAGTAGCTTTGTCTTCTCACAACATTTGTAAAATGGTGACTTGCGTTTATAGATTTGAATTGACTTGTGATTGTGGCACAACAGCGCCCTCACCTGCCAGAATGTTTCAGATTTTACTTTATAGGTAAATATAAAGGGTACAGAATGTTCAGGTGAGCTTTGGGTAAAACAACAAAGCAACCCACAACAAGTCCAATTATGCCTTATATGACACACAGACTGTCTGCACTGCTGGCCCAGACCTTGGGTTTGATGTTCCGGGAGACGGAAATCGAACCAACACGTCTCAACTTGCTGACTTCTAAAAGGTCTCATTGGTCACATGCTTTAGGGCATGAGTTTGATTGGTTGGATTTTCTTAATAGACGTTTTAGTTTTTATAACACTTGGGGCTCAAAATAAAACACAAATTCCTTTTGGGTAGATTTATTCCATTCATTATAATCTTATGCAATCTAGTGGCCTTTATGTAAGCTGTAAGGCAGAGTGACCTTGCAGTGGGAGAAACTCCATTTTTCATTTTTTTAACCTGATCCAGGGGTGCACTTACTGAAAGGCTGCTACTGGCGCTGGTCTGTGACCCAGGAATGAATCTCCAGGGACCGGCTGCAGACCCAGGGTGGAACTCTCAGCAGGCCAAGGTGAGTGTTGGCACTTGGCACAAGGGGTGTCATTGTCGTGAAGTCCAGTTGTGGGGGAGGTGTCTTTCAGTACCTCTCCCAACAGCAGGGCCCCTGTTTCTTACAAAGGGGTAATTCTGCTCGATAGCCCTTAGGAGCTGGGTGAAGGTCCATATTACTGAACCATTTTAATATATACAGTTGGCAGATAGTCATTGCCTTTATGTATTCAATTGGGGTTAGACCCTGGCCCCTCTATAAATTTCTTCATTAACTTTGGCTTTAGACAAGAAGCGAACGTCGACAAGACTCCAGATAGCAAGTTTTCAGGATGGTCGTCCAGCTAAAATCTCCTTATTTCTGTAAGGCTTGGCTAGCCAGTCATGTGATGCTGCATATTGCATGTCATCTGACCTTCAGCTGAAGTCCCTGCTGGCTGAGTATCTGGATGCAGCGTCTGCACTGCTGTTTGAGGTGCTGTTGGTGGCCCAGCAGGTTAGTGGGTGACCCCCGTATAATCGGACCTGGGACTCCGCTCCCTGTCCACAAATCTGTCATTATTAATGTAGCCAGGCTGCTAGTGCTGCTCTCCCACTCACCAAGGCTAATGCGCGAGGTGCCGAACCTCTCCTGTTCATTAGAAGGGCCATCCACAAAGGGCCATCCACAAACTATATATTTCACAGCGCCCACACATGACACATGGCTTCTATTTCACTGCTGTGCTGATCAGGAATTATGTGTTTTCCGTAGTGTCTAAGTGTATATTTCGGAAACACCTAGGCAAAACAAGTGTTTGAGAGCCTGCATGCAGAACAGAGAAGCCTTTCTTTTAGGTGTTAATGGATGGATTATTTTACTCCTATGGCTTTGAGATGTGATCTGTGAGATGGTGACTAAACAGTGCTCTGTTTGTCCCTTCAGGCTAGCCATACCTCAGATTATGAGTGCTTCTTAACTGTGGGTTGGGTACTGAAGACTCTACAGTCTCACCAGTCTGTGGTAAGTCTGTACACTTTATTGTGGCATCTTTTTAGTACTTCTGTCTTAGTTTTCCTTATACACTGTCCACTTACTTTCCACTGCAGATACCTTTTATTAGTTACGTGGCACAGCAGTTGGTTCTGGTACTTGGCCGGCCCGTTCTGAGCCCAGCCCAGGCTGTGTTGCTGTACCAGCGGTGCCGGGTACTCCTTGCCTGTCTGCAGTACAGTGCTGAACTGGGATGCCACATCAGGACCCAGTACTGGGAGGAATTCAGGTCAGAGTGAAGCCGGGTCACTGGCACACATTCTGCATGAAATTCCTGTTATTTACTGTAGGATGCTTATTATTTGCAATTTCTTTATTTGTGAAGTGTGATTGATTTCTTTGTGAAACCTCAGGTTCTTTCAGAGTCGAGTGATCAGGCAGGTTCCTTAAGCTTAAGCAGTTTATTAAGACAGAATGAAGATGTTACAGAAAGATGTTTCACACGGCCGGTTCAGTGTCTGTCTTTCTCTGCCCCCCCCCCCCCCCTGAGGGAAGCGGGCCTTTTTCTATGGTCTTCTTACAGACTCCTGGAGCCAGGGGGGGTCAGACGGCCTTGGTAAGAGTGAGTCGTATGAGAGGCAAAGACCATGATGAGGAAGCAAGTAACAAGGACAGAAAGAAACATAAAATTCTTGAATATAAAAGCTATAAATGAGTGAACTAAAGGAAAATAATTAACTACAAATTAACTAGGGAAATCCCAGCCCCCTCCCCTATGAGTCTATGGAAAACAAAACACATTAAATCATCATAAATACAGTACAATAAGTAAATGTCTGATCAGGATATATCTGTAAAAAAAAAAACTCAGCACAAAGCCTTGGATGTAAACTAGGTTCTAAAAACCAGGTGAGGTGTCTTGCAAAAGGTAGCAAAAAAAAACAAATCATAATATCAGTCAAAATTAATCAATCATCATCGTCAGATTTGGCAACCATGTTTACATGAACAGATTTGTATAGTCTACCAGAAAAGCAAAGTAAAAGCTTGACAATCCACAATACGTGTGTGTGCTTGTCTTTCAACATTCAGGTGCTTGAGATCATGAATTCTTCTTCAATGGGCCCTTACTGAAATTACCATTATCGTAGGAAAACTGGCAAAATAAATTGTGGATTTGTAATACATATGTATTAAGGAGAGTGACATTATGCCCTGTGCCTTGTTTATCCTTGTGTGTTACAAGCTTGCCTGATCAGATTTGTCATCCACACATCACACAGCGCCGATGCACAAACCCAGTCTATGGTCTCTGTTACAGGTACTACGTGAAGGTGTCCCAGCTGGAGGATAAGCTGCCGTCTCATTACCGCATCAGCCAGCCCACAAACAAGCTGCTCTCCCAGCTCCTGCATCTGGTCCTGCAGTAGCCCTGTGCTGCACACACACACACACACACACACACATACATGTAGGGTAAATATATCCTTATGGGGACCGCTCATTCATTTCAATGGGAAAAATGCTAACGCTAACTATGACAACCTTAACCCCTACCCTGCCCTAACCATAACCATAAGTAACCTAACAAAATACAAGAGTTTTTGCATTTTTAGTTTTTTCATAGCAGTCACCGATTTTTATAAAATAGAGTTTTCCCTTATGGGGACCAGGAAACCGGTCCCCATAAGGGAAAAAAACGGATATTTATCACGTTATGGGGACATTGTGTCCCCATAAGGATAGGTAAACCCGCTCACACACACACACACACACACACAAGTTGGTCTTCCTATCTAAATGGGGATCGTCCATTCATTTCTATGGGAAAATCCCTAGTCCCAATCACAACACCCTTAACCCCTACCCATCCCTAACCTCCATAAGTAACCAAACCAAATACAAGACTTTTGGCATTTTTACGTTTTTGATTGCATTCACAGATTTTTAAAAAACTGAGGTCCCCAAAAGTAGAGAAATATCAGGTTTTACTACACTTTGGGGACAATTTGGTCCTCAAATGTGATCTATGCAAACCTACACACATACACATAGGTTTGTAATTATATCTTTGTGGGGACTCTCCATTCATTTCTATGGGGAAAACTCTAATCCCAACACGACAACCTTAACCATAAGTAACCTAACAAAATATGAGACTTTTGGCATTTTTACTTTTTTGACTGCATTCATAGAGGACAGGTATTTGGTCCCCACAATGTAATAGAAACTTAATACAGACAGACAGACACACACACATACAAAGGGGTTTAAAAATGCTGAGTATCGTACCTGCTGGGCCATTGCAGGACTTAGGAGTGGTGGTCTACTATAGTTAACATTTTCTTCAGTAAATAAGCAGTTTCAGAAAATGGATGGATGGATGGATGGATGGAGGGAGGGATGGAGGGAGGGAGTACCAAGTCTCTGCATCCTCCCTTGCCCATGGAAAGACAGATGAGGATGGAATATCCTGATTTTTTGCCTCTTGACTGGATTTAACACAGTCAGGACTTCTCTTGTTCTAGTTGATGTGTAAACATCTATATGCAAGCACTTTATTTGCACTTTAGGGGTCTTTACTAACAATGACGCCTATAAAGATTATTGTAGAAATTACCTCAGGTTAAGCATGATCATCACTGGGTGTCAAGCAGGGTGTTTTCCAATCAAGCTGTACCTACATATTACAGCTTTGGGAATAATATAAATAAGATGATTGTTCTTTTTGGTCATAAAGCATTTCTCAAACTAGCAAAATACTGCAGGAATTGTTTGTAACAATTCTAAATGTTTGAAGAATGAAGAAGAGAATGACTTGTAGATCCACAGCAGTAATGAAATCCATAGTGTATTGATTTTTTTAGCCCAGTTTCAGCTGATTTTATAGTATTAATAGCATATGAATTCTCAACAAAAATAGAAACATTTCAAATTCATTATGATTATTCTGTATTGCAGTATTTTTCATGCTTCACATTTCCTGTGGCCACAGATTCTGACTTTAAAGTGTTGTACGTGGAATCATAAAAGCAGTTTATCTATCTTTCTTTGTTTTACTGTGTTTATTAGTGCCTGTTATTGCCGTTATTAAACAAAGACTGGAGACTCGTGATGTATGCTGTTATGAACATTAAGAAATAAATGTATATGGAAACTCAGATGTAGGGTTTTTTATGTTTACTTCTCCAAAAGAGAAGTAAATAAAAAGTTATAATTTAAAATTCAATGCGTAACGTGATTGTGAATGTGTGTCTTTCTTATTTGCAGGTCAGTCAGTGTGTGGGATATTTTGTATAGATATGGCAGGCTTTTGTGAAGGTTTCCATGTTTACACACAGAGGTTTGGCCTGCCTTGGATTTGAGCTACTCTGAGTAAACAAATGCAAATGTACCAGGCCTCACAGGTAATGGGTGTGTTTGTACAACAAAAGCAGGAGGACAATGGAGCTGAAAATCTCAGCAGGGGTCCTAGTAGGTGTTAGGTCTAGGGAATTCACACAAATTTCCGCAGGTTTGGCAAATCTAGTGCTAAAAGGCGCGTGGCTTGCCGGTGATATCCAGCGCAGATACGTAGTTGGGATTATTAATAATCACGCATGTATAATATAATAATCTATACCACAAGTGTGTCTGCTGAGGTGTGGCATGAGTAAATGGTGTCCTGTAGTTGAGTTCTGGCCATACAGCAACTCTGGATATAACGGACTTTGTATATAATGGACTGTTTTGCCAGGACCCTTGAAGTCCGTTATAACTGGATTTTACTGTACAGTAGGTAAATGCAAATAGACACATGTTATGTAGTAGCGTAACCAGTGGATATAAAACCCCCAAGAAAGCTGATACATGGAGAGATATCACCTTCTCTGTGAACGCTGTGTGCCAAATATGTCTAAATGATCTTCAAACATGCGTTCCCTTCTCAGAGCACGATTGGCAAGCTCTTCAAGAAGTAACAGAAATGTCATTTTGATAGCAAGGCCAATGCGCAGACAGACATATTTATAATCCGCATGATCGCCGTTACTGCATTGAAAATAATTTTTACACTTTAAAATTATTTTTTATATTTTACTTTTATAAATTATTCAAATACTATCATTTTATGAACTGTAGAATGAACAAAACTGCTATAACCAATTATTTTGAACAAACTATCATTACTCAAATGTGCATACGAATGGTCTTGAGTGTGCGTAGATTCTGTTCTTAGCTAAGAACAAATTCAGATAAGAAAACATTGGTGAATGTCAGAATCTTCGTAAAAATGTGCATACGTGGGGTTTAAGAACAAATTTGTTCGTAAGAAGGTTTGGTGAATGAGGCCCATTGTTCTGTTGACTAAGGTTTTCCAGTTGTAATGCCCCTTAAAGCTCTAATTGTTTCTAATAATTCTTTGTATAACACTAAACTCAAACCTTTCTCTACTTGCCAGCCATAAACCGGGTGCTGATCCTGGGCCGCGTTGGCCAGGACCCACTGCACAAAGAATCTTTGGCTGCGAAGGATCCATCAGGTGCATCCTTTGGACCTCGGCAAGAGAAGGACGCATTTTTAGATTGCATTTGAAGGAGCCTTCGAAATGGAATAGCGGTGTCGCACTGCTGTGACACATCTGATCTTCAAATGCAGCCTTTGAAGGATGCAGCCACTAAAATCGGACACAGCACATTTGGCATTCTTTGGATCTACATAGGCAGTTCCAAAGAGCATTAATCTCAAATGAGATTAAAGATTGCTAACCTGTACAAGTTAGATAACAGATATAAAGAGCTAAAAAGTACCATTGAGCGCAATCAGTGAGATTAAAAATTTAATAAGCATGGAACAGTTTGAATTTTTCCAGAAAGAGGACATATCACATACTGCTCCCATGTAGAGACAGACTTAGGCTGTACCCACACTAGGTGACCTGTACTGTGTCCGGGTACGTTTGACCCTCATAGTCCAGTTTGGTTGACTAGGGTGATCACTAACCTTAGGACAGAATAGACATGACATCAATGATGTGACTGGCACATACATGTGCGCATGTACATTCAACAGGAAGTAGACCTGGAAGGAACAGATCAGATAAGAAAAGATTTTACTTTTTGGTCATTGTGACGGCCCTACTGGTCTGTCAGCCCCGCCCACTTCCTACCTGTGTTCTTCTTCCTGGTTTTTTTGAGTAGGTAATCAGGCGCAGGTGTGCCGTGTGAAGCATTAATTGGGAGGGGTATGAAGAGACCTGCATGCTATTTTGGGGGGGGGGCTTTTTCCTCCTCTGGCGTTTTGTATTGGTTATGTTTTTGGACATCCCTAGACATACCTTGCACCACTTTTGCTTTACTTACATATTACTGACTTTGCATACACATGTATTCCATGTGCCAAGAGTCAGTTTTCTTAGTCGACAATTGGTCCACCTACTGTAGGCCCTTGCCTTTGACTGCCACTGATCTCCATTGTACCTCACCCCACAGCTCTCCCTGCTGGTGGTGGGCCCACAGGAGCGCAGATCTATATTATCACTTCAGGCTAAGCCCAGCCAGACCCCATGCGTAAAGACCAGGCCACCTGGTCCTCGCCTACAAGGTGCCCTTTCACATGATGAGTTGGAGACCTCAGTTTTATTTTATTTTTTTGATTGTGAGATTTTACTACAAATCTTATTTTGCTAGATAGTTTTGTGGGTTTTGTATATGCTTCTGTGAGAAAACTGAGGGAAATTGACCAATATTTGACCTTCTGGCGCCTACTGTCAGTCAGACACCCTTATGGTGCTTTTTCATGCTATACAGGAACCAAGCCGTACTGGAGCCGTAGCACAGAGAGAGAGATAGTTAGTGTATGGTTCCAGCTGGCTGTTTGTAGAGCAGTGACATAAAAGTGAGGTAAGGAGCACATGCTGATTACAGCATATTGCTGCACCCACCTCACAAGAAACCACCTCATGGATGAGAACCTGAGTGCAGCGTGTGATACCTCACACCACACCAGACAAGAGCAGACCAGACCAGTGTGAGTTTTGTTCCAGGGACTGAAGTGCCAATCCAGCCACCAAATTTCCCTGTAAATTGGAGGACCTACCTGCAGATTAACATCATACCCAGAAAAAAGCAATTGCAGGTTAAGGACTTTGCTCAAGGGTCCAATGGAACAGGATCACTTACAGCATTCACAGGATTTAAACAGGAGCACCTGGAGGAAACCCCACGACGATACATTATATCAAATTTAAATTTTAGATTACATATTTATTACTGCTTAATATAATCAAAATAATCTATTCCGCATTGCATTTTTAATTCAATAAAAAAAATCATGATTTGGCAAGCTTAAACTAATATTTGTGTATTACTCAGAAAACTTTTTTCTGAGTAGCGGCAGAAAAAAAAATTACCCTGTGTTGTGGGTTTCCACATTTGTGTTTTTCCATTTGGAAGATTTACATAGATGCAAAGCATCTCATCTGCATGTTGTGTACGTACCATACACAACATCCTTTGGTCAAGCGGGTCTTTCAGCTTGTGCCGTAGTCAAATATTCATAAACTTAAAAGGCTCCGAGACAGACAGCTGGGAACAGAGAGTGAGAACTGGGAATTGCTTACATTCTATCTGCCACTGTTCAAGGTAAGCGTTTCAGCAACCTTTGAAAAATTATGTTACAGATATGGGTCACAGGTATAGGTTAAATTAAGTCACAGGTATAGGTTAAATTAAGTCACAGGTATAGGTTAAATTAAGTCACAGCTAAGGGTGAAAAGTGTGTTTCTTGCTGTGCCAGGGGAGACAATCCCTTTAATTGTAGCTCCCTGAGAAGTTCAACTACGGGTGCAGCAGTGGACTAGAGAAACCTATTACCAATTTAGCAGATTTGTTGGTATAAAATTAAAAAACAACAATGGCTTAATAGTCAGAAGTAGTGGGTTTAATTTTGGGTATTATATGCAATCATAAATGTTTTTAAATGTGCAGGATATTATGGGTCCAGTCATACTCACATAGTCAAACATAGTGCCTCTTGTCTTTGTTACCTTTTGTAGATATTCTGTAGCTTCTACTGAAGTCTAACGTTTTTTTTTGTTTTTTGCCTTGTTTCTTACAGTATGCATGTTTAGGAAGGAGTAGGTCCTGTCCTCTCAATAACTAGGTCTCCAGATGGCTCCCAATGAAACAACCACGGACTATTATGATTATTATTATGATAATAATACAGAATTTGATGTGGGACTCATGACTTTCAAGTGTCGAGTATTTCCTGCCTCCACATTTTGGCAGCTCCTTAAGATCTTCATCCTTGTGACAGGTCTTCCACCCAACCTTGCCCTCTTAGTGCTACTGGTCAGGGGGAAAATAGCAACATCTTCCTCAAAGGTCCTGGGCATCAATCTGTCATTCCTGAATGTCCTCTACTGTGCTTTACTGCCCCTTGACATCAGCACTGGGTCCCACAAGTTTAGTGACAAAATTCTCTCTGCCAATGAAGGGTTCTTGATATTGAACCTCATAGGCTGCCCCCTGCTGGCGACCGGAATGTGTGTGGAGCGCTATATAGCTGTTTGTTGGCCTATCTTGTACCTGGAGCTGAGGACGTCTCAGTACCGGTTGGTGTTTTCTGCCCTGGTCTGGATTGTGACACTGGCTCTGGCAATTGAAACCTACCTTGAAAGCATTCAGTTCTTGTCATGGCCACTAACCATGGGAATCTCAGTCCTCTTTGGACTGATGTTAATGTGTCTTGGTAGGATCATCGCCATCCTGTGCAAAAAGGGCCCTGGAGACAATCAGAACAGCACAGCACAGAAGAAAGCTCTTAAGAATGTACTGATTGTACTCTGTCCATTTACCATAGCATACTTACCCATCATTGCCCTCATCCCTTTCTGGTCCTTTTTGACCACCAAAAAACAACGAACCACTGGCCTCAACTGTGCTATCTTCCAGTCCTTATTCTCTTTCCCTAATTTTGGCATTTACATCTGCCCAATGTTCTTTCTATCCCACCTAAAGAAGCACCTTTGCTTTCAAATTAGAAGGTCAACTCAGGACCAGTCACAAAGAATGACTGAAGTGTTTTCCTTCATCTCATTTGCATTAAGCCGGAATACAACGGAACACAGCCACCACTGAAATGCTATAATATCTCAGTAAACATCACATAACATCTCATTTACCTCTTACCTTTTTTTTTGTTTCTGTGGCAGACATCTTTACTCCTGTGTATACGTATATAAATTATGTATCTAGTGTATGTAAATATAGTGCATCCCCATTGTGAAAGCCAATAATGCACTTATATTGCTGCGGTAAAGTATCATGGTCTATAAACATAATTTTTGCAGTTACATTTTTTGAAAGAATTATCAACTTGGAAATGTCATAACGATATGTGCTGATAAGATCATGTTTAAGTAGTTTTATATTAGGTTTCTCTGGTGGATGTATATGGGTTTGTTTATTTTCAATGTATATTCCTATAAGATGAAAGTAGATGTGAAATAAAAAACTGTTTACTTAAATAATTAAATGCCAGGAAGACTATTCTTGTATGTCTTTACTTCTTGATCGCATTCTACATACAAGGAAATGAGTTGCACGACTAGGCTTTTAACTCTTATTACGCTGATGACATCATCTTACCTAATAAGCATGTTAATAATGAACAAGTCAAACTGTTTATTCCAGATGCGCACATCTGAGCATTTTCCAGTCATACTGAGACCATAATCTATATACTCTGTTAACATAAAAAGATGTGAAATTTTAGTTGTCTGTACACAATAACCTAATGCTAGAAGTGCCATCAGAGCTAATGTGAAAAACATCAATATGCAATTATGGTTTATGTAGTGCTAAATCGTGTTAATTTTGACCAATTATTATTACATCGAGTCTAGTAAGAATGGCTCCCTCTACGTAATATTAGACCTTTCTGTATCAATTTATTAAATCTCTATACTCTTCCTTTTGCGGACAGATGTCTTTTCAGGTACAGGGTAACCTGATCGTTTCGGGTGTACAAACAGTCAAGTAATGATACAAAGACGAAACAGGATCTTTCAGCGTCACCAGAGCCAGTTTAAGTGGATCATCTGTGCAGCTGTAATACAGATGAAATCGCATTTTCAATTATCATTATTGGCGACTAATAATATTTCTCACGTTTTGTGATCAATTTCAGAAAGTCCATATAATTTTACATATACATTTTGGAGTCGGAGTCGAAATTGCAATTAATTAATCAAACTCTGCCTGTGCATTTTGTGTTTAATTGTTTTGGATAAGAAAGCAAACCTAATTTCTTGTTCTTATTATGTAAACGCGTGCAGACAGTTTCAGATTGACTATAACAGGTGCTCGACAAGGATAATGCTTTTGGCTACATAACTTGTTGTCAGGTCATAGGATGGACATTTGCACTTGGGACAAGTGCTAGAAGACATTTTATCAAAGAATATTTCAGTTGGATAACGGATTAAGTTTGCTTGGATTATATCACTCTGTGTGTCGATCGGAGTGACTATTTAAAAGGCTTGAACATGCTGTTACTGGTCTCAGGGGGTGTCCTGGGGAAGACAACCCCCCCCCCCAATCACTGGTTTGCACTGTTGCTTCATTCCTGTGGGATAAGGGCTTGACTGTCTTTCTCAGATGTACATATTTGCATGTTCTCCCTGTGTTGTCATGTGGTTTTCTCCAGTTTTCTCCAACAGTTCAAAAACATACTGCAGTGAACTGGAGTTACCAAACTGTCCATAGGCATGAATGGTGTAAGGGCCCTGCTGTAGGTTGACACTCCATCCTAGGCGTAGCTCCCTCCAGTAGGACGCGAGCACAAGAGTTCTTTGGTTTTAACTGATTGCCGTCTCATTTCCAATCAAGCTGAACCTACGGATTACAGCTTTGGGAATAATATAAATAAGATGATTGTTCTTTTTGGTCATAAAGCATTTCTCAAACTAGCAAAATACTGCAGGAATTGTTTGTAACAATTCTAAGTGTTTGAAGAATAAAGAAGAGAATGACTTGTAGATCCACAGCAGCGATGAAATCCATAGTGTATTGGATTTTTTTTAGCCGTTTCAACTGATTTCATAATAGCATTATTAATAGCATATAAAAACAGAAATAGGAAAAATTCAAATTCATTACTGTGTTGCAGTATTTTTCATGTTTCACGTTTCCTGCAGCCAAAGAATCTGACTTTAAAGTCTTGTGGAGTCAGAAAAGCAATTTATCTATCTTTCTTTGCTTGTTTTACTGCCTTTATTATTGCATGTCATTGCTATTATGAAACACAAAGACTGGAGACTCGTGATGTATGCTGTTATGAACATTAAGAAATAAATGTATATGGAAACTCAGATATAGGGTTTTTTTATGTTTGTGCTCTGTATAGTTCCCACATGAACAAGAACATTATTCTCCAAACGAGAAGTAAATAAGTTATATTTCAAAATTCAATACGTAACATGATTGCACATCCAGTACATAAATACAGGTATAAGAGTAATATTTGAAGAAGGCGATGCGAAACACGTGACATGATTTCCTTACTTGCATCTTGCAGGTACTGGAAGATTATAGAACTGTATTGTTCCTTTATGGACAAAAAATCCAGCTTGAATAGAAATGAAGTGAATCTTGAAAACAAAAAACACATATACGAATAATTCTTGAAAACCTACGTATAAACTGAACATTAAAAGACATTTCATTCTTCATTTTGACACACTAGGACCTAATTCTATAAGTTGCCGGAATTGTTTTAGTGACGGACCGGAAGCAGCGTGCCGTTACCCGCGGGTAAGTGACATACGCATGTAGTTCATATAAAATCTCAATTTAAAGTTCTCTTTGTTTTTGGATATGTGTTTATATTTTAGTATGCAGAAAAGTCCGAAACAAGCGTTAGGTTAACCAAGTTTTGTTTTAAGCTTTACCGAACGTTTTCATCTCTGTAAAATATTATCAACATCACTTCTAGTTAGGTGCAAGAAAATTATAATTTCTTTATGATTGTTTTTGACTTTAATATATTCCCCATGTTACTACACGATAACGTATTTAGTTGCACCAATACATTACATTATTTAATAGGTTAGCGGTTTCTAATACGAGGATACTTTATTTTGCTACATGAACGCTTATCTCGTGGCGTCCGGATTCTCCGCGGACAATTGTACTTATCAATTCATGGTCTGTTTTTTTATTGTTTCAGACCTTGCAGCAGTACCACCTTATCCACATCTCCACAAACAAGACAGGATGCTTAGAATGGCGTCAGCACAGGTATTCGAATAACAAAGCGAGCTATATAAGGGGAATTCGTGGAGATGTCCTGTTCAGTCCTGAACGTGGGAATGTGAATTTTGTGTGTTATAGGTGTTCAGGCAGCTGGTGAGACACATGAACACAGATGTAAGCCTCATTCTTGAGAGATGTAAGTAGGGGTGCCATGCAGGGGGGGCACTAGGTCAACTGGTTTGTGAAACATTCCATGGCCATTGGCAGCAGTAGGTAGCATACAGGGGTGCAGTAAAGGAGGGAAAAGTTAGGATGATTTCAAATTTGGAGCATAATTTGGATTGGTCTGGCTTGGGAGCCCAATATCTCTACCGACACTCCTGCATATGAGTATGGTAACTACTAACAAATAGTCATAGTTCTGTTGTTCGGTTTTCCAGTTGCAATGCCCCTTAAATCTCTAGTTGTTTCTAATAATTCTTTGTATAACACTAAACTCAAACCTTTCTCTACTTGCCAGCCATAAACCGGGTGCAGATCCTGGGCCGTGTTGGCCAGGACCCACTCATGCGACAAGTGGATGGGAGAAACCCAGTCACGATCTTCTCCGTGGCAACCAATGAGATGTGGCGCTCTGGAGAGGGGGATTCTACGCCTGGAGGTTAGAACTTGGGCTGCACTTGTGATCTCACTGCTGTACTGCATGCCTTTCCTGACACCGAATGACAGGCTTTTCAGCAGCAGAGAAATGTTGCATTGTGAGATCCTGGTCGTCACTCAGGATGATAACGTATTTTCATCTGACAATGATAGATGCCGCTGGGGTATCCTGGCCATCCCAGGCATAGTTTAGGTAGCATTCCTAGAGCAGGTGCGGTTAAGGGCCTTCCTCAGTGGTGGGATGATTACTCTGTCAGCCAGGGGATTTGAGCTCACAACCATCTGAAACATCTGATCTACATGCGGCCCCCACCCCATTCCACCCTGTTAATGTCCGGTGAGGTTATACTGGACCTGAAGCACTTCTGTATAGATCCGAGACAATGCAGCTTGTCACATAATTTGTATAAGTAATTTTTTCCCCACAACTAACAGTATGCATATTTGTCATATTTGGACATATTAATAATTTAATACAGTTATTAACTGACTAAAGTTAATAATGGTAAGCAATGCCTAGGTTACTCTCAATAAAATAAATAAAGGAACAGCCTCAGTGCTTGGATGTGGATTTAGGGGGAGGATGAGAGATTTCTGGGATGGGGGGGAGCAACAATGATCCCACAAATACATGGAACATACTCACACGCGTTTGAACTGTGCTGCAGGTGATGTCAGTCAAAAAACCACATGGCATCGTGTGTCAGTCTTCAAACCAGGCTTACGCGACGTGGCCTATCAGTACGTGAAGAAAGGGTGAGTGGCACGACGTTTAAGACACCAAACCGCTGGAGTAGCACTACTGGCCATTCCTTTATAGCAGGGGTGACCAACATGGTGCCCGCGGGCATCAGGATGCCCCCAAGGCCACATGAGTCGCCTGCGGACCTGTTCTAAAAATAGCACAACTCACCAGTGAGCAGCGTCTAAAATTTAATTTTATCCTGTTGCTATTCTTCTTTAATCACATTTGCATTTATATAGATTTGAAAATGACAATATATAAAAAAGAGCATTTAAAACATGTTTATTATACATAAAGTTTAGATAAGTTTAGGAGGGTGTTTCAAACTGATAGCCCTTCGTCTGGCTCAGTACCCGTTACGTAGCTCTCAGTTTCAAAAAGGTTGGTGACCCCTGCTTTATAGTGTCCTCCTCTCTGTACCCAATCGTGTTTGTGACTGACGGGTAGGCTTCTCTTTCTTCTCCCATCACCCCTTGTCCTCTTCCAGGTCTCGGGTGCTAGTGGAGGGAAAGCTGGACTATGGGGAATATGTGGACAAAAACAGTGTCAGGAGACAGGCAACAACCATCATCGCAGGTACATCAAACATTTACCCACCTAATCCGGAACCGTGTAGACCTTCTGTTCTATAAATCACAGAATATTTAAATCATACTTTAAAAACACATACTGGACTTTTAATTTGTATCCTAATTACCCTCTTTTTTTCCTTTCACAGACAATATTATCTTTTTAAGTGAAAATCCAAGGGAGAGAATATGAACAAAATATCCTAACTGTATGTAGAATAGTAGAAGGCCAGTGGTTCCTTTGTGTCTTTTTATTTTTCCAAGCTTGACTGAGGTAGAGAAGGACTGCCAAGATTTCACCCCTCTATTTTGGATAACAAAAGACGCCTTGTTTGCATGGCACCCTCTAGTGGCAGAGGTCATGACGCCATAGCTAAAGACTTCAATTTCATATGTAATTCTAATTTTTTATTGTTCACTTCCCAGCTATGCACAACTAACACAGTGAAAGGCTGGCTGAAAGCAGCATGTCAACTCTACTTCTTGGCAACCAAAACTTATTTGGCCAAGTTTGATTTCGTTTACTTTCTGATTTATTTAATGAAGTTGTGACTTAGACCACATAAAACATTGCTTTAGGTGAAATAGCTCAGTATATTAGTAAGCTTTTTGTTATTTTAAAAATCAAAAACGGACCTATTCTGCTGTGAAGATATTTGTCTGAGTGTCAGTCCCTTTAAATATCTGTAACTTCTAAACTGGGTTGATAATCAGAATTTTGCATCGTCATTCCCCGGGAGAAAAACACTTGAGCACTTAATTTATGGCCGAATCGAGTGTGTTGTACTGTAAACCAGCGCCGAACTGATTTGACACGTTGCCCAAGCAGTTTAAATACTAGAATGTAAAGCTTCATATAGCATATGTAACTCCCAGTTTTGAATAAACGCATTTTGATAAGCAACTCAATACTGTATCGTTAAATACCCGAATGGTCTCTACGCTTTCAGAATTCATGAGATAATTAAGTGCTTTGTAATCGCTTAATTAGCGTAAACAACATGAGTATCTTGTATTTGTTATACTGCTCTATGACCGGTGAAGTGGGAGAATGGAAAAGCTGAATGTAGGCGGTGTCTACTGTGAGGTATTCTTGTCGCTATCCTATTGGTTAGAAGAAGCTGCCAATCATCTCTTGATTGGTGATTTCTTTAACCAAAGACTGGTGGGAGGGTTCTTGGAAGTTCCCCATTGGTTCTTATGCGTGACAATCTTGTGGTAACTTTCTTTAAAAACAACCAAACACGTAAGTCAACAGCCAAGCGGATTCTCTGGTTGGAAATGACAGATTACTTCTTTTTTTAATTCCTAAATTATTTATGGTTTTAAAATCTCTTTCAGATAGCCAGACCTACAACTGTAATGTGTATATATAGAACTACATATATACTGCTGCGGAGTTGAACTATTTTAGCTATGGACTCCGGGTGGGGGCGTGTTTTTGTAATCCTGACACCTTATTGGGCGGTTTCTCCAATGACGTCTTTGTCCCCGCCCACAAAATTCCAGTCTGTCTGGGTAGCGTCTGTCTGCCGTGAGGAAAAGGGAACCCGAATTAAACTTTGTGGTTCGAAACAGCCAAAGACACGCAAAATAACTGATTTGACTTCAGTATTTACAGGCACGCCACATTGGAGCGTCCCCATGTAAACGGATAGCTTACGACATGTTCGTAATAAACGAGTAGTTAAGTACCGGTAGCTGCATTTGAGCAGGATTTTCTGCGAACTTTTCACGCCGTGTTACCAACAAGTGGATCGTCTAAAGGTATTCCCGGTGGGCGGACTAGCGACCATACTCTCTCCCGACGGCTTCTCGGTAGCTTTCAGTCGTCGTATCGTGAACCATGGAGTTACTGGACGGCGGCGAGCCGTTCCTGCATTGGGACCGGAATCTCAGCGAGCTGTCGGAGCCTGGCGACACCGACGCCGTTTTATACAGCACGGTAAGTGGGACCATCATCCCCCAACACAGGAATGTCCCCCGTGAAATCCATCCCACCCCTGTGCTCTATTTAGTATTTTAAACGCTTATTATCCACCAAGAAATACACACGAATGCGTTTTCGCACGAAATGTAAGCGGATAAACTTGGGTCAGTAAGTATCTTTATGTTGACATAGTTTTATCTCCAGCTTTTACCATCTGACATTAATAGCTTTATGGAAAGTAATTCCAGTTTTGTTTAATACTGCCTGCTGAGGTTAGTTATAGCCTGTTACAGGTAGAGGAGCACTGGGGACGGATGACAGCGGTGGTGAAGCGCCTCGGATGCTGGCACGACTTGAGCCTTAACTCCGACCCTGAATTATTGATGCAGTAATAGAGGCCGGGGAAGACACAGTGTCTCATCTCCACCCATAATTAGTGCATGCGTTTGCACAAGTAGTTTACAGCCCTCACGGCGTGTACCCTGAATATAATTATATTAGATTAGATTTGAAGTCACGTTAGCTAGGATGTTAGGGATGTGGAGGTGTGATTGAAGTTGCCAGATCAAGTCCGAGGCCGTGATGGTCTGTTCTAGTTTATGAAGGAGGTGTGTAAGTTGGCTTTCATGTATCTAAGTATACGGTGCCTTGGATGGCAGGAAGGACTAGGCACTTAGCGTAATAAGCAGCGTCATTGTGGTATTATTTTGCATCTGGCACTTGGATATTCAGCTCTGAGGTTCAGTACTCCAGTGGTCCCACAGTTGCCGTTTGCCGTTCTTCGCAGCCTTTGTCTTCCAACTTCTGTCTGGCTTTCGTGTACATGAAATTCCACACTGAACTGTCAGATGTTTCCAGCTGTTGCACCAAGGTCCCCCGCTGTCCCCTCTGAGTGCCTGTGCTTACTGGCTGCCTACGACGGGGGTGGCAGGATTATCCAGGGACACGTGATACTGCAGCGTTCTTGCTTTTGGGTTCAGAGAGCACCCCTGTCCAGCTTCGCGTGGGTCATTGGCCGGTTCTGCATCGAAGTATTTTGGCTTCCCTCCTTGGATGGTTTTGTGTAGAATTAGAATTTAGTGATTAATTGTCATTGTTGACACACCACAGCACACAGCGCACAACAACGAAATGTGTCCTCTGCATTTAACCCATATGTGACTTTGTGACATAGCAGGGGGCAGCTAATTCAGCGCCCGGGGAGCAGTGCTTGGGGGCGCTACCTTGCTCATGTAGGACATAGGATCAACAGACCCAAATTTTAACACTCTTAGGGTTCTCTGTGTGCTTGGTTTCCTTTTCTGACCTGTCTATCTATGGTGACGAGCATGATATCACAGGCTAACAGCTTATCTTCTCGGTTTGATGGAGAAGTGCCATGTTTAGCCTTGGTCTGCTTTGGCACCATGCTGCTGTATGCTTATGCTGCATTTTTCAGCTACAGCATGGGTTTTAAACATACTTTTTTTTTAAAGAAATGTAACATTGAACCGATTAAACTGGGTAAAAGTGAGCTAGCAAGATGAATGTGCACAGTAAAGGTGGGGGAGGGTGTGGACTGTCACCTAACAGTCAGTAATACCTAACGCTATTGTTGTCTTATTACGTAGATCAACTCTAGGAAGCACTTCAACAACAAATTCCCTTCATGCATGACTAATTTGATCTTAAAGCTGGGTGAATGGTTGCATGGTTGCTCAGAGCTCTTTGGCACTGGACATGTTGGGGAAAGTCTTAAGTTTCAAGGCCAACTTTAAAATGTGCAAAGCCTGAAATAGGTTGCCTCAGCAGTGTCTCCACACACTGTGTCCCTGGGCTTCATACAGGCTGTTTCATAAGGCTGTTTTTTGTTTTTGTATTTTTCCTCCTAAGCATTTTGTTATTAAATGTATTAAAATGTCATTTCCATCGTAAGTTAATGGTAAAGTGTAGGTGAGTCTGATTTCCTGATCACCAGCAGCCCTTGAGGCTCTGCAGGCCTGCTGAGACCCTTTGTCAGATCAGGCAGGGAGGGGGGGGGTAAACAGATGAATGGTAGAAGTGTTTTGTGGCCCCGACGGGGCCTGAACCTGGGAGTGTTTTTACAGGGCGGCTGCAGCTGAATGCTGCAGGATTCTGGCATCATTGCCTCGGGTTCGCCTGAGCCGTGTGGCATTTCAGAAAAGGCTCACGGTTCCCTTCCAATCCGGCGTGCATCGTTACGGTACCAGCTGCTCTCCCAGCTGCGCCTCTTCAGCGGTGCCAGGGGGGATCCCTGTGGAAATTAGGGAGCTCTAAGCTCTCTCTGGTAGTGGAAAAGGGGAATGGACCATGATGTGTGCGTGTTGCTATTTAACGTCCCCCTGCAGCTGTTACGCGAGTTAGCGGTTAGCGTAGCAGGTAGCTTCCTGTGCTGTAGGGTTCGTACCTAATGGGCTCTCCGGGAGGCTCTCGGTTTCGTTGTGAGACGCAGGTGTTCAACCAACCCAACGGCCAGACACGTTTTCGGTTCTGAAACCGGTTGTTTTAGTCTATTCTAGTGATGGATCTTGTTCTGGCACTCTGGCGTCCAAGGGCTGTGCTGCGGAGTAGTGACTTCTAGTCGGGCATTAATGGCATGAAGTGAAGTGGCACCTGAGAGGTTCTGCTCCGGCCTTGTGCTTCCCTGAGTGTGTAGCCAGTGATTCATTACTGTCTCCAGAGCCGTTTCGGGCACTGCAAGAATTTGGGCGGAGTCAACTGCAGGACTGCTTTAGTGAGCTTGGCGGCGCAGGTGGATTGGTCAGCGTGACGTCATCTGCGTCCTTCGAATGTCGTCCTTTACTCACAGGATATTTATCACCGTTTCGTTGCATGGTGCAGTCATGGAAACAGATGGATGGTGGGGTGGGGGGCGGCAAGGTCCATAATGAATGGTTCTGTAGCATCAGGGTGGGTTCATTATGGGGTGGTGGCAGTGGGTGTGGCCAGTGGGAGTATCAGCCATAGGTATAATTAAGATCCCATATAATAAGGCCATGCAGTATATCATGCTGTAATGTGAATCCTTAGGGGTCCTGCTCTTGGCTGTATGGGTGTATTTTAGCGCTCTTCCCTTGGGCCTGCAGCCTGCCAGGGTCTGTCTCACTCTAAGCCGCTGTATCTGGGTGGAGAGTCTGAGGCACAAGCCTGAAACAAAGCAGACCTTCTTCTCCCTCTGGGGCCTGCGTACAGGGCCAAGGCAGCCGTGGGGCTCTCTTCTCCCCAGGCGCGTCTGTGCGCTACAGCTTGAGAGGATATGAGGAGAGTCACACATACCTGCCAGTATATCTCCCCTTCATGATAACAGCTGCTATCTGCTCTGGCCTGTCATGGCCTTCCTGCGGCACATCTGCCTCTCGTGTGCTGTGTCTCTGTATGTTTATGTCTCAGAAAGAGTCCATTGGCCTCTCTAGGTCTCAACGCTTCACTGAGACTCTTTGTGGATGGACTAGGCGTCCGGCGTGCCCTTCCTGGTCTCTGGGATGATTTACAGAGGGATGTGGTCGGGGGGGATTCTGGCTGCGGCTCCAAGCAGACTGTGTGTGGGTGAGCTGCAATTTCTGTTATCTCAGCCATGCTGTACCCCCCAGTCCAGGTGTGGGGGCGGTCCCCACAATATGGGACTGCCATCTGTGGAGGGGAACGAGTGGTTCTGTGGAACCGCAGCAGCTCTCACCGACAACGGACAGTTGTTGAGGAACGGCCAGAACTTGTCCCTTTGTGTCCGGTCGTCCGGAAAGTTCACTATCATCCGGAAAGCTTTGTTTTAAACCCTGTTTGTCAGGACCCGGAAAATGTAGATCCTGCGGAGGCCTACTGCTGGGTCGTCCAGCGCTCTGCTGGGGGGGGGGTGAAGTGGGCAGTGAGCCACGACACGATCGGGTAGCTGGATTCCTCACTGTCATCGCCTTCTCAGGGCTTCCTTCTGGAAGGCGAGCTCTGCTGCTATAACTCTGAGATAAAAGCTTCTTTTGTAGTT